TTGCCCCCGTCGAACAGGGACGTGGACACGGCCAGCTGCTCCTTGCTGCCCATTAGATCTGACAGCCTCGAGCTCTGGGCTAGTTGTTTTCCAGGTCCCCAGGTTCCTGCCCATTCGGTGTGCTGAGTCGTGGAGTCTTCCTCCCAGATGGTGATTCCCAGGCCCGGGCCTACGGGTGCTCTGATGATGCCTGCGGGGTGCAAGGCTGGGTGCCAGAAGTGCCAAGTGGGGACAGGCTGGGAGAGCAAGTTCTCATCAGAGGCTGCCTGAGGGGCACCCCGGGCCCCCTGCACAGGGCACAGAGGGCCAGGGCATATCTGGAGGTGCAAGGACCTGGGACCCATCCCCGAGGCGGCACGCCCAGTGAGTTGCAGCTTCCCAATCTGTGCAGAGAGTGGCCAGAAGGGAACTTGTATAGGCCAGTCTGGCCACCCCTAGGTCCCTGGAGGCAGCCTTGGAGCCATGACTGTCAGAACCTCTATTCCTGGAGTCACTGCCTCAGAGCCTCTGCCATCAGAGCCGCAGCCTCGGAACCTCTGCTATCAGCTGCAGCCACAGAGCCTCTGCCATCAGAGCCACCGCCTCCCACGCCTTTATCTCTGCCAACGGTGCCACCTCCCTTTACCGTTCTGACCTGAGGTTCAGGATTTCCCTCTGTGGAGTCATCAGGAGCCGGACAGATGCTCTGTGGGACGGGAGTGAGAAGTGGCTGCACCGGTCTGGCCGTCACTGACTCAGCTCCTCACTCAGAGCACTGTTCCCCCAAGCAGGCCTCTCCCCGAGGCCTCCTGGGCCTCCCACCCCCAACCCTTGGACCTGGCTCCCCAGGTGGCCGCGAAGGTTAATCGCCACCTGGAGATCCGGTTGGACATGTCTGCGGCAGGCACACATGGAGTCATCTGGAGTCATCGAGCCGAGGGTGTGGGCGGGATGGGGGCTGGCGGGAGATGGCCAGGCAGACAGAGGAGTCTTGGGGGGCCTCTGAAGGCGGTAGCATTACCCATATCCTCAGCGCCCCTGTGCTCGGCCACTGTCCCTGCAGGCCAAGGTCAGCATCTCCCGAGTCAGCGGCCACACCGTCATGCCACCAGGCTCCTCACGGTGTGGGACCCAGGCCTCTGAAGGGGTGTCCACGGCTGCACCTCTGGCTCTCAGGGCCGGGGCCAAAGCTCCAATAATGGGCTTGGGATGGCGGACTCGACTTGGACATGTTTCATTCGTTCTTCCCAGTCTCAGTCCCCTTCTGATAAACAAGGAGGGTGCTATGACGTTCCCAGGCCCCAGCTTCCAGCCTGTTCCTTCAGTGTCCCCTTTCCGTCACTGCCCCACAGAGACCCCCACAGGGAGATGTTCACAGAAGCGGTGTCTGGCCTATGCTGTGCAGGAGTGTGTGTGTGCACACATTGTGAGCCCTGGTGGGGCATCTGCTGCTGCATGTGCAGGCACAGGTGTGTGTATGCAGGTGTGCGTGTATGTGCAGGTGTGCGTGTGTGTGGTGTGCAGGTCGGGTGGGGGTATGTGTTCAGGTGTGTGTATGCAGGTGTGCAGGTCAAGTGGGGGTGTGTGTTCAGGTGTATGTATGCAGGTGTGTGTGTGTGTGCATGCATAGGTGTGGGGGTTGTATGTGCGGGTGTGTGCAGGTGGGGCTGTGTGTGGGTGTGCAGCGTGAGCAGGTGCTGGCAGGTGTGTCTGTGTAGGTGTGAGTGCGTGTGTTCATATGCACTTCCTCCAGCTCTGTACTCTCACACCTGTGGTCTTGTTACTTGGGGGTGAGGGATCAGGTGGGTCTGGGAAAAGAGGTGACAGAGTCCAGGCATTGTCCCCTTTGGCAGCCCTGCCCATCACACAAGTGTGTCCATCTGCCTCCTGACACTGTGGCCCCCAGCATGGGGCAGATGATGGCGGATGCAGAGATCATGCAGACCCAGAGACCCCTGGGAGACACTGAGGGGTGGGACAGACGCATAGCTGACCCGCAGTAGATGCCCATGGGTTTGGGCTAACAACACGTGCTAGCCCAGGCTGGACCACACCCCCTTAAGCTGCAGACCAGCGTGGGTCCTGCAGCCGGTTCTCAGAGTACTAGGCCCAAAGTGGATCATGAGAGAGCTGAATGGACACACGGTCACGTTCCTGTGGCTCAGTGGTCGAGTATTAACCTTGCATGTGTGAGACACTGGGGGTTGCCATAGAAGTTTACGCGGGAACCCTAGTCTGTGTGTAATAGATGCTGAGTAGGAGATCCACACCAGCTACCCAGCAGGCCCATGGGAGCAGGGAGCAGAGCTGCAGGTGTGCATTAGAGACGGGGCATCTCGTATATGGAATGTCTGGATTACCCACACGTCTTCTGGGCAGAGACCAGCCCCTAGCCCAGTGCCCGAGGTGCTGTGTTGAGCCTGCTGGCCTCCTGCCACCATGCAGAGTAGCCGCTTCCCACCGGTGTACCTGGCCGGATCTGTGGGGGGGATACTTCCTGTACTTGCAATCTACACCATGAAATTCTGGTCACCTTTCAGAGGGCTTCAGTAAGGACGGGCTAATGAGGCGCCAATCACGCCCTCTGGCCATGGCATAGCACTGAGGGGGCTAATGAAGCACCAATCATGCTTGTGGGTGGGGCTTAGCACCCGGCGGGCTGAGGAAGTGCCTGTCACGCCCTGGGTGGGGCTTAGCATGGGGGGGGGGGGGGCTGATGAAGCATCAATCACACTACTGGGCGGGCTGAGGAAGTGCCGGTCACGCCTCCTGGGCGGGGCTTGACCTGGGCAGGGCTAATGAAACACCAATCTTCTGGGCGGGCTAAGGAAGTGCCAGAAACCCTCTGCACCGGGCTTCAGGCTTGCCAACCTGGGGAGGGTGTAGGGCAGGGGCGTGCAGTCCACAGTCTCGTGTGCCTCCCTTGGGGCCCAGGCCGGGTGCTGTGGGCTTTCCTGCAGCCCTACCCCGGCAAGGGCACCACAGGCTGTCTTGGTCACTGGGGCTTGGGGGATGGCGGCCACCCTGCCTGGGCTGAGGACTGGCAAGGAGACCAGAGGGGTCGGACAGTCCGTCTGGGAAGTCTTCAGAAGTGTCAGAGGCAGAAGGGGCGGACCTGGCCAGTGTGGGGGGCAAGGAAGGGGTGCTGCCCTAAGTCAGGCACCCCTCGGGTCCCCCAGCAGCCTGTGGTCTGACATTGGAGCCTGAGACTACTTCAGGACAGATACCAGGCGCTACAGAGATAGGGACCCTGGAGAGACAGGGTGATTGGGCAGCGTCCACTAGGCGCAGGCGGAACCAGCACAGCCTTGTCTCCATCTCCACAGTGAAGGCCGACTGCCACTGTCATACCTCCTTGCTGCTGCCAGATTCTGGGGTTCAGCCCCACCTGGAATAAAGCCGCTGCCTCCATGCAGACTCCAGTGACTGACACCTCTATCCCTCTGTTGTTCCCTTCCGACCTGGAAGCATTGCAGGGACAGGGCTCCTGTGTGTGGCCCACCAGGCCTCCCAGTGAGGGCTGGAGACCCACAAGCACCTCCCAGGAAGGCCCTGGCACAAGGTGACATGTGGCCACTGCAGGAACCAAAGGTGGCAGGTGCAGTTGGGCACAGGGTCAGCTGGTTGCCCAGTGGCGACCATGCCTTCTTTTGGGTTCCAACCTGGCATTGTTGGGCTTTATGGGGGGAGGGGGTTGTGGGACCCCCCCACACACACTACTCTGCCACCTTCCCCATGCTGCCCAGGGCCGAGCCACACTGTCCCAGGACCATCTGTACTGACAGTGCCTCTCCCTGGGCAGGTGCCCACACCTGCCCCTGGCTCTCAGGACCACCCCCTACCCCACCGCTCCATCCGGGCACGTTCCAACCCCAAGCTCCAGTTTGAGACCAGTCATGGCATCCAGAATAAAGCCAGTAACCAAGGCCCCGCAGGGGTGAGACCAGGGAGGAGCTGGCCATGGTCCTACTCTCAGGCCTAGGGACGCATATGCTGTTTGCCCCAGCCGGCGTTCCAGGGGGGGCGGGGGGGGGGGGGATGCAGGCTGTGGGGAGTCAAACAGGGCTGTCCCTGACCTCCTGGGCCTCCCGCCCACACACGGAGGGTGGGGCCTGTGCTCCTGGCTGCTGCTCTGAGCTCCTGAGCGCCTTCTGTGCCTTGGCAGTGCTCAGATATTGGTTGCCCTGGAAACGGGTTGTTAGCGTCCGCCGCCTAATTATAGAATCCGGGAGGACGCCTCCTCTGAGGTGCGAGCTGAGCGGAGTTGGGAACCCACGCCCCGTGCTCCAGACTGTGCAGCCACCCGGGTCACGTGTGCATGCGGGGTTGGGTGCTGGTGGTGCCCATGGGCCACATGCAGGGTCACATGTGACACGAGGGCTGTGTCTGACTTGTGTGTAGGTCGTGTGTTGAATGTGAGACTTGTCTGGCTTGTGTGTAGGTCACATGTGAGGGACTTGTGGAACATGTGCAGGGCCACATGGGACATGTGAGTCTTGTGTAGGTCACGTATGGTATGATATGCAACCCATGTGTCATCACATAAGGCGTGCACAGGGCCCATTGTACTTGGGCGTTGCTGGGCACAGGCTGAAGCACCTCCTAGTTTGGACCCTGCTAGGCCCTGGCCCTTTCCTGGTGCCCCCGTGGCACAGGCTGAGGCAGGCAGCAGGGTCATATCCGACCCCTGGCACCTGCGCCCATCATGACACAAGGGTGTGTGAGCACAGGACATGACAGCACACACAACACACAAGCGCATGAGACATGTGACACAGGACATGGAATGTGACAGCACACAGAAGCACATGGGACATGATGCCATACAGGCACATAACAGTGACACAACACACACGACTTGGACACGTGACAGCCTACAGGCACATGACATGTGACATAAGAACACAGAACTGTGTGGTGTGACACACACACCCACCCAAGCACATGGCGTGGCCCATCTGGCCGTGCCCACTCCCACTGCCCGTCGCTTCCGGGCCTGCTCACTGTGTCCCCCTTCGCAGAGTCCATCTACCGCCGTGGGGCTCGGAGATGGCGGAAGCTGCACTGTACCAACGGTCATCTCTTCCAGGCCAAGCGCTTTAACCGGGTGAGTGCGGGTGCGGGGCCCCAGGGCAGCCAGCACTCCTCACTGCCCATGTGGTGGGCAGGGCTGCTGCAGGCAAGGGCTGGTGGCCAGCAGTGGATGCAGGGCTGGGCTTGCGCACATGCTGATGAGAGCAGCCCTTGGGCTCCTGCTCGGCAGACGCGGCCCTGACCTGTAGCCCCCTCCCCTGCAGTGTGCCAGCACTCGTCCTTCCAAAGTGGAACACAGGGTTAAGGTGCCACCCTTGCAGCCGACCCCAGTGCCAGTCATTCCTGCACGTCCCTGGGTACAGCCCCAGTCCCCAAAATCTAGAACATATCTGGGTCAGAGTGTGGCTTTGGAGTATAGTATAGACCCCGCATGCATGAGACTCAGACTCCCCAGAGCCACAGAGTCGATTAGTAACCCTGCCCCAGGGGCTGAGAGCAGCTCAGCAGAGCGGGCACTTGCTTGGACCCCCCCCCCCACAGCAAGAGGAACCCCTGAACACTGTTGGATGTGGCCCAAGAGACCAAAATAAACCCTGTCCCCAAGCAGCCCGGGAGGGAGCCCTGACCATCACCCGGGCTGCAGGTGGGGGTGAGCTGCCCCCCTCACTACCAGGAAGCCTCCCTGTACCCAGTGGGGTTGGGGGGAGGCTCAGACCCACAGCAGGACCTGGCAGAACCCCAGCAGCTTGACCAGAGTGCTCTGCCTCAGTGCAGCCGGGCTTCGGGGGCCTGGCCTAACAGTGGCCCCTGTGTCCCATCTCCATAGGGAGCGTCCTGCGGACAGTGCAGCGAGAGGATATGGGGCCTCGCCAGGCAGGCTTACAGGTGCCTCCACTGCCAGCTGCTGGTGCATAAGCGCTGCCACGGCCTCGTCCAGCCACCCTGCGGGGGGCATATGGTGAGTGGACACGGCCTCGTCCGGCCACCTTGTGGGGGCTGTATGGTGAGTGTCCACGGCCTCATCCGGCCACCCTGCGGGGGCCGTATGATGAGTGGACATGGCTTCTTCCAGCCACCCTGCGGTGGGTCGTATGTGAGGGGGGAGGGGAGGGGTCAAGCAGTGCCAGTCGTGGCCCACAGGTCCAGTTGGGCCGTGCCTCTCTCTGCCCTAAACTTGGCTGTAGCTGGGCTGGGGTCCTCTTTCTGAGCCTGCAAGTGCTCAAGGCCACTCTGGGTCTGTCCCCAGTCTGTCAGGGGTCAGGGCACTGCCCTGCCAGGCCCAGCTTCTGAGCCTCCGGGCCACACACAGGCCAAGGGCCTCTACTAGGACATCACCTCGGACCCCAGGGTCTGGGACGGTGCTTGGGGTGTGATTGTGGGGGGAAGGGGGGAGAGCTGAGTATCACGGGTGGACCCTGTGGCCTCTGCCTCGGGCCCTGTCCCAGTCACTGTGGCACTCCCTGTTCCCTCAGGATTCTGTCATGCCTGCCCAGGAACCTGCAGCGGACGACGGTGGTGGCGATGTGCCCTCTGAGGACACCGGCGGAAGTAAGCGACTCGACCAGCCCCCATCTGCCGGGCCGGGTGGGCCCGGGTGCGCCCCAAGTCTCCCAGTGTGCAGTGGAGAGTTTCTCTCCTCCCACCTAGAGATTCTAGAAGGAACTCGGTGCTGGGACTGCCCCAGCTGGGCCCCCCAGACCGGCCCCTGCAGCCAGTCTACACCCATCCTCCCACCCACCCATCCATTCACCCATCCATCCACCCACCCACCCATCCACCCTTCTGTCTATCTACCCTCCCACCCACTCACCCACCCATCCATCTATCCATTCATCCATCCATCCACCCACTCACACACCCGTTCGTCCACCCATCTACCCACCCACCCTGTCCTTTCATCCACCCATCTACCCACACCCCTGCCCTTTCATCCACTACCTACCTACCTACTCATTCATCCACCCACCCATCACCCACCCATCTACCCACTTATCCATCCATCCACCCACTCACCCACCCATTTACCCACTCACCTACCTACCCCCCACCCACTCATTCACCCACTTATTCATCAACTTCTGCCCGGCAGCCACCCTCCCACCTGTCCCTCTCTGCCCACCTGTGTTCTCTCAGGTTAGAAAGTGGAAGATTGACCTCTCCCTGGTCCCCTCTAGATGAATCTTTGTACCTGACAGGCCCCCGGGCCCCACATGCTCAGAGCACTAGCCTGGATGGGCCCAGGAAGTTGTGTTTTCTGGGCTCCGGTATGTGCGGGTGACAGTCTGTCTCAGCTCTGCCGCACCGCCGGCCCCAGCTCTTCTCTCCCTCCTCTCTTCACTAGTTGCCTATATCTCTTCGAGCCGGAAACATGACAACATTAAAGATGATTCTGAGGTGAGTGTGCAGAGTGGCTCGCTGCCCTTTTCAGTGTCCCTCTGAGAAGTCCCCTGGCTCATCTCTGACACTCGAGAATCTAAACAGGAACTAGTGCTTGGGGCCTGGGGCTGGTGTCAACTGCACCTGGTCTGGCGGGCAGCAGGGCCAGGCTGGTCTGGCAGCTGGTCTGGCAGGGCCATCGGCTGGGCCTGGTGTGAGCCGGGATCAGGAGCACTCTGGCCACAGGATGCTTTGCTGGGAGGTGTGGGAGGGTGACCGGGAGTGTTCACAGGACAGCACGGGCCGCCGCCTCAGGCCGTGTCCAGAAGTACTGCCCCCTCGGGCTCACCTGTGTGGCCCATCCCCTGCAGCTTGAGGGTCCGGGGCAAGTAGTTGGGCTGGGCCATGAGCTCCTAGAGGCCCACCCCGCACCGTCTGCTCTGCAGGACCTCAAGCCTGTCATTGCCGGCATGGACGGCATCCAGATCTCTCAGGGGCTCGGCCTGCACGACTTTGACCTGATCCGGGTCATTGGGCGCGGGAGCTACGCCAAGGTGCTCCTGGTGCGGCTGAAGAAGAACGACCAGGTCTACGCCATGAAGGTGGTGAAGAAGGAGCTGGTGCATGATGACGAGGTGCGCCCGGGCGTGCTGGGGCGGGGTCTGAGCCAAGTGTTAGCCTATTGGGCAGGTTTGCGGGATGAGTGTGCACATGTGGGGGTGGTTGTGCAAGGGTGAGTACATGGATGTGGGTGGGTATGCGAACGGGAATTCATGCATGTGTGGTGTATGTAGGTAGGCGAGCAGGAGTGCACGTGTGTGTTGTATGTGGGTGTGCAGTGTGAGTGCATGCTTGTGCTGTATGTGCCATAGAGGCTGCATGTGCGGAGTGGTTGCTTCGCGCAGATAGATCCATGTGAGGAGGGTTCGTGGTCATGTGCTGGGCCGTGTGTGCCTGAGGGGTACGGGCTTAGGTAAACGAGTGCCTCGATGCTCTGCCCCATAGGGTGGGGCCAGACAGAGGCAGCGAGGCTCCCTGAGGGGCCGGTCCCAGGAGATGTGGGCCTGTGTCCTGCTCCACTGTTCCCAGCTCACAGCCTCTGCTTTGCTTTCACGGGTGCTGGGGACAGTGCGCCCCCAAAAGAGGGACTCCCTGGCCGCGCCACACCCCCGCAGACCTCATGCACGTGGCCCCTCACATTTGGCACCACTTTGCCTCATCGCCCAACTGTCAGTGCTCTGCCCCGTGTGACCAGAGGCTCCCCTATTTCCCTGACACCCCTCACGGTGCTGCCTCCCCCACCAGCCCTACCTACGGCCAGCCCGGTCCATTACGGAACTGCTGGTCATCCCACCACTGAGTCTGGCACAAAACTCAGGGCCGGGCACCCACACACTCTCTGTCGTCTGTGCTCGTTGGCACAGGTCTGCCCCCGGGGTGGGAGTCTGGCACAGGAGCAGGGGCGCCTGAAGGACCCTGACAGACGCCCAGGAGCTGGGGCTACCCCTGGGCCCCAAGATGCTGAAGAGTGTCCAGCAGGTGGCCTCCAGGAAGCGGGGGAATGGGCAGATGGGATGACAGTGGTGCCCAGTGGCCACAAGCCAGGCCCTGCCAACTGTCTCCCCAAGCTCAGGGCACACACCGAGCCTGGCACGAGACTAGGCAGACCCTAAAGTGAGGCTAGAGACATAGAGCTCTGTCTGGTGCTGCCTGGGTCCCTGGGGACCTGAGACCAGGGTCAGTGTCAGTTCAAAGAAAGGCACAAGCAAGACACAGGATGACACACAGGGAGAGGGGCAGGCATCCAGGGGACAAGTGCAAGGGGGAGGGAGGCGGGCACCCAGGGGACAGGTGCAGGGGGAAGGGAGGAGGGCATTCAGGGGACAGGTGCAGGGGGGATGGAAGTGGGCAGGGGAGGAGGGACAGCTGCAGGGGGACAGGTGCAGGAGGGAGGTGGGCACCAGGGGACAGGTGCAGGGGGGAGGGAGGCAGGCAGGGGAGTGGGGATAGGTGCAGCGGGGAGAGAGGCAGGCACCAGGGAACAGGCGCAGGGTGGAAGGAAATGGACAGGGAGGAGGGACAGGTGCGGGGCAGGGGCGGGTGGTGGTGGAGGCCCGCACCAGCAGACAGGCGCAGGGTGCAGAGCTGGCCTCCAGTTTGCTGACCTGTGGAGCAGTGAGTGGGGCCTAGTGGATGGAGGCAGGGTCCCATAGAGGCCGCACATGGCCTTCATCCACCAGAGGGCGCTGCCCCTCACTTGCCTGGCCCCCTCAGAATGAGGAACCCGGCAGCAGAGGTGGGGACACAGTCCAGTGTGGGGGCTGCTCATCTGGAGATGAGGGCTGGGCCCTGCGCTGCCCTCCACACACTCCCCTCATCTTGGCAGGAAGGAAAGAAGCTGGGGACAGGGCGGGGGAGGACAGGGATGGGGTACGGGCACTGGGGGCCAGGGAGCGGGGCCCGGGTCAGGGTGGTGTGGAAGGGGGTGGGGGGGTGGGAGGGTGTCAGGGTGTGGTGCTGCCCCTGAGCCAGCAGAGACAGAGGCTGCAGGACTGACGCGTGTCTCTGCCACAGGACATAGACTGGGTGCAGACGGAGAAGCACGTGTTCGAGCAGGCGTCCAGCAACCCCTTCCTGGTCGGCCTGCACTCCTGCTTCCAGACGACGAGCCGGTAAGAGCCTTGGGTCCTCGTGCACTTAGCTGTGTCGCCTCTGCAGTGACCCCCATTCCTGGCTCAGGAGGGGCTGTGCTCAGGCCTGACACGTCTCCTGGTGCAGCTCGGGGCCCCTGTGGGATGCAGGGCATGCACCCTCCCCACCATGCTCTCGCCCCAGGCTTAGACTGAGCCCTGGTGCCTCGGACGCCCCCAGATTAGTTCAGGTGTGGCTCTTCTGCCCGATGTTAGGGCCAAGGGAGGGACCCAGTCATGCGAGTGGCTCAGGCGAGTGGGCATCTCAGATAGACACCCCCACCCAGTGCCTGGTCTCTGTACTGTTCCTCAGGTCAACTTGTCCATGACCTGTCCCATGCTCTCCTGCACTGTGGGTCAGCAGGACCCTCCACGGGGGCTGCTCTGGCCTCTGCTCCCAGGAGCGGCCTTCTGGGTGGTTGTTACTCTGAGCCTGCCAAGTTAGAGATGCCCAGGCCAGCAGCGCCGGATGCCCCCTGCACTGCCAGTCTCCTGACTGACTCCCTACCCCACGGCTTCTCCCCAATCACGTTACCCCAGGACTGGGGCCAGGGCCAAACGCCACATCTGCCAGAGTCACTCCGCGGGCACAAGCATCCAGGCCACCTTGGAGAAGCCCCGGGGGCGGGAGAAAGCATTGTCCCATGGCAGGAGAGTCCCCCGAGGGGAAGCCACCCATGGCCAATCGGAAGCAGGGGGGCTGAAGCAGATCACACATGGTGGCTGGCTCAGAGCAGCCCATGGACGTCCTGAGTGTCCAGGAGTGAATGTTGTCCCCTCCGAGTCAGGGGCGCGAGGTGCACGTGTGTGTGTGTGTGTGTGTGTGTGTGTGTGAGGACAGCCCTGGTCAGGAGGTTCCTCCAAGCGCCCCCAGACTCCGTGGGGCGCCTCGGGCAGGCCCATCCCCATCCTTGGGGCAGCCTAGGCACATTGGCAGGGCCAGTGTTGGGGGAAGGGGCCGAGCTTGTTTGGGCGGAAACAGGACAGGAGCTCAGCCAGAGCATGCGCTTCCGGAAGTGATTCAGGCAGGAAGGAGGGGGCAATACAGCCACGTGCTGGTGTGTGCTGTGGAGGGGGCAAGAGGAGGCTGACACGCATCCAGCCAGGGCTGACCCTGGCAACCAAGCACAAGGCAGGGACTGTCCTCAGGAGGCTTGGTGACCCTTGTGGGGCTGAGAGCACCACGTGGAGGGTGGTGAGCCACAGACATGCACTGATAAAATCCTGGCATCTACTCACATCACACACTGCATGGCTCATACCGCATGCTTCACACCTCACACCACACGGCTCATGCCACACAGTTCACACCTCACACCAACGGCTCATGCCACACAGTTCATAGCTCATACCTCACACTGTACAGCCACACTGCATGGCTCATACCGCATGCTTCACACCTCACACCACATGGCTCACACCACCTGGCTCACACCTCATGGATCATACCATATGACTCATATCACACGGCTCATAGTTCGCACCACATGGCTCACACCACACGGCTCCACATAGTTCATAGCTCATACTTCAAACTATACAGCTCATACCTCATGGCTCATACCACACGCTTCACACCTCACACCACCACCACACGGCTCATACCACCTGGCTCACACCTCATGGGTCACACCATATGACTCACATGACACAGCTCACACCACACAGTTCTCACCACATGGCTACCACACAGCTCACACCTCATGGGTCATACCACACGGCTCACACCTCACACATGGCTACAGCTCACACCTTATACTACACGGCTCATGGTATGTGCCTTCATACCTCACAGCTCATATAGCTTACACCACACAGCTCATATGGCTTACACCACTTTACAGCTCACAGCACATAGCTCACACCACACAGTTTACACCTCATGGCTCATAGCTCACACCTTCATCACATGGGTCACACCACATAGGAGACTCACATCTGGTGATTTATATGGCTCACACCTTACTGCTCACACCACATGGCTCATACCTCACACACCTTACAGCTCACACTACATACCTTACAGATCACCACACACCACGAGGCTCACACCACGTGCCTCACACATGACTCACACACATGGCTCATACCTTACACACCTTACAGCTCACAACTTACATTCACACCACATGGCTCACACCTCACACCACACAGCTCACACCACATAGCTCACACCTCACACTCACACTTTACAGCTCACACCCCACACCACATGGTTCCTACATGCACATGACACACCTCACTCTGCACGGCTCCTGGACCCACCCATCACTGCTCTCCTGGAATGGAGTTGGCTGTGGCTTTCCAAGGAGCACCTGGAGGCCTGGGCCTGGGGGGCGGGGAGCACTTAGGGCTGGAGCCATAGTGATGGCACAGCTGTGAGCACCCTTGTCCTGTAGCCGACCAGCTCGTCCCAACATCCCATGTGGTCCCCCGAGCACCCCTGGGTGTGGCACAGAAACCAAACCAAGAGGGGTCTGGCTGGCTCGTGCCCCCCCCCCACTTCTGCTGCACTGACCTCACAGCCCATGTTTCTGAAACTCGAGTGGGTTTGCCCTGAATGGGGAATCTTGTCAAATGTGAGAAAGACCTTGTGGGGGCAGTGCAGGGGACCCTGCGCTTCATCCCCACCTCTGGGTCTTTCTGGTTCAGGGGCCACGCCTTGGGCTTGCTCCTGCTGTGTGTGGGCCATTGTGCTGGGTCAGACCAGGCTTCCTGTGTGTGGGGCCTGCACTCAGCCTCACGGCCCTCCACTGCCTCTTCTCACTGGTGCTGGGGCACCAACACTGCACCTACCCTCTGCTGGAAGCCCCCAGCCCGGCTCATCCAGCTGACATGCTCCCCTTCCCCTGCCCACCCCTCCTGGGCCCTGGGCCCGTAGCACAGCACACAGTCACATTCACACAGAGCCAGGCATGCACTCTTACATGTGCCCATGTATTTTTCTGTGCACACATGCTCCTATATACATACTCTCCTGCACTATGTGCACTCTGCTGTACACACACACTGCTGTACACATATTCTCCTATGTACACACACTCTCCTGCACAGTCTCCTGCATGCATACATTCTCCTGCACACATGCAATCTCCTGCACAAACACGTGCTCCTGTGCACACACTCCTGTACACAGTCTCCTGCGCACAGTCTCTTGCACACCTACATTCTCCTGCACACACTCGTTCCAGCACACATACATCTCTACATTCATACACAGGCTCCTACACACATACAGTTGCCTGCACACATGCAATTTCCTGCATACACACATGCTCTTGTGCAAACACACTCCTGCACACACTTTCCTGTGTACACACCCTCCTGCACACATGCCGTCTCCTGCATGCACATGCTCCTGCACTCACACTCCCGCACACACACTTCTGCACACACACTCTCCTGCACGGACACAAACACTCTTCTGCATGCACGCAGTCTTCTGCATAATATGCTCCTCCACATTCACGGTCCTCCACACGCACTGTTCTGCACACACAGACAGATGGACACCCCTCTGGGCTGTCCCCTGACCCTCACACTGCTTGCCCTTGGGGTGCTTTCCCTGCTCACCCTAAGGATCTGTCCCCAAGATGGCTCCACTCTGACCCCCCAAGGAGACAGTAGGCAGACACCCAGCCAACCTGGCACAGGAGGGCGCCAGAAGGAGCCCCTCAGTGCCCCACCTGTCCCCTCAGGCTGTTCCTGGTCATCGAGTACGTCAATGGGGGGGACCTCATGTTCCACATGCAGAGGCAGAGGAAGCTCCCAGAGGAGCACGCCAGGTGGGTGCCGGCACAGGTGAGGGTCTGGGCGGGCAGGTGGGAATAGGGCCATGGGCGCAGATGAGGCTCTGGGCAGTCAGGAGGGGGGGCATGGGCGCAGGGGAGGGTTGGGCAGGCAGGTAGGGGGCGTGGAGACAGGGGAGGGTGTGGGTGGGACAGGAGGGAAGTGTCTCTGCATGGCTGCTCCTGCTGGCACCCCAGCAGATGGCCTGGCTCAGAAGCCCGCTGTGGACCCACAGGAGGTGCATCCTGGCCTGGCTCAGTGCTTGGTGGAGATGGGGGTCCCAAGCACCGTTTTGTCTCTCCTGTCTTCACCCCTACCCTGTCCTTACTTTCTCTCTGAAAGTTCCAGAATGGCAGTGATCACCCAGGTGATCTCTGAGGAAAGGCAGACTCACAGGTTGCACCCCCATTCCATGCATCTCCTGGGGTGCCAACCACACCTCCCACCACCAGAACCTTCCATCTGCCCAGAAAAGAGCATGTCCCCGAAACTGCCCGCCCCACCTCCGCCTGTTGGGACTTGGGGGCTGCCAGGGCCTCCCTGGGTGGATCTCATCTGGGTCTGTCCTCAGGTCTGATGGACTGTCCTCATGGGCCAGAACCTCCAGTCTGTGGTGCAGACACCCAGTGCAGATGGTTCGGGGATGAGACTTGTGCTGGACATGGGGAAGGGTCTTCCTGGCACTGCAGGGACTGTGCTGCTGTGAACTGGGGCGTAGCAGCTCGGTAGGGTCCTGCCTGCCAGTGCACGGGTGCAGGCCAAGGGACTGAGCTGTTGGGACCCCACCCTCGTTTTCCCAGGATCCCCACTGTCCCTTAGAGTGCCCAGGTCCAGCCCCTCCCCTCTGTTGCACTGATCACCTCAGCTAGCAGGTGTGTACAGACATATACAGGTGCAGGGTGCATGCAGGTGTGTGCAGGCACATATGGGTACAAAAAAAGTATGTAGGCAGGTAAAGGTGCAGGCTGCGTGCAAGTGTGTGCGGGTACAGGTGCAGGGTGTGTGCAGGTGTGTACGAGTACAGGTGCAGGCTGCGTGCAGGTGTGTACGAGTATAGGTGCAGGCTGCGTGCAGGTGTGTACGAGTACAGGTGCAGGCTGCGTGCAGGTGTGTACGAGTACAGGTGCAGGCTGCGTGCAGGTGTGTACGAGTACAGGTGCAGGCTGCATGCAGGTGTGTGCGGGTACAGGTGCAGGCTGCGTGCGGGTACAGGTGCAGGGTGCATGCAGGTGTGTGCGGATACAGTGCAGGGTGCGTGCAGATATGTGTGGGTACAGGTGCAGGCTGTCTACAGGTGTGTGCAGGTATAGGTGCAGGCTGTCTGTGCAGGCTGAGTGCAGGTGTGTGGGGGTACAGGTGCAGGCTGCATGCAGGTGTGCGCAGGTATAGGTTCAGGCTGCATGCAGGTGTGTGTGGATACAGTGCAGGGTGCGTGCAGGTATGTGCGGGTACAGGTGCAGGCTGTCTGCAGGTGTTTGCGGGTATAGGTGCAGGCTGTGTGCAGGTGTATAATGATATAGGTGCAGGCGATGTGCAGGTGTGTGCGGGTACAGGTGCAGGCTGTCTGCAGGTGTTTGCGGGTATAGGTGCAGGCTGTGTGCAGGTGTATAATGATATAGGTGCAGGCGATGTGCAGGTGTGTGCGGGTACAGGTGCAGGCTGTCTGCAGGTGTTTGCGGGTATAGGTGCAGGCTGTGTGCAGGTGTATAATGATATAGGTGCAGGCGATGTGCAGGTGTGTGCGGGTACAGGTGCAGGCTGTCTGCAGGTGTTTGCGGGTATAGGTGCAGGCTGTGTGCAGGTGTATAATGATATAGGTGCAGGCGATGAGCAGGTGTGTGCGGGTACAGGTGCAGGCTGTCTGCAGGTGTTTGCGGGTATAGGTGCAGGCTGTGTGCAGGTGTATAATGATATAGGTGCAGGCGATGTGCAGGTGTGTGCGGGTACAGGTGCAGGCTGCATGCGGGTATATAAGGTATAAGTGCAGGCTGCGTGTAGGTGTGTGCAGGTGTAGGTGCAGGCTGTGTGCAGGTGTGTGCGGGTACAGGTGCAGACTTCATCCAGGTATGTAGACGTGTACAGGTGCAGGATGCGTACTGTTGTGTAGGCATGTACAGGTGCAGGGCTGCATACAGGTGTGTAGACATGTATGGTACAGGGGCATGTACAGATATATGCAGGCACATACAGATGCAGGGGTGTGTACAGGTGTATCAGCAAGTGCAGGGATGCATACTGGTATGTAGGCATGTACATGTTTGTGCAGGCACATACAGATGCAGGAGTGCATACAGGTGCAGAGGTGTGCGGGTACAGGCATGCGTGTGTAGGCAGGCATGTGGAACATACGTGTGCTTACAGGTGTAGGTGTGTCGGGGAACAGTGGCCTGTTTACAGGCACTGAAGGAACAGTCACTGCTCTGCTGTGTGCTGTGGGTCGCCGAGGCTTTATGCTGCCCCTCTGCTGACCTCACAGTCCCCTGCCTGCCCCCAGATTCTACGCCGCTGAGATCTGTGTCGCCCTCAACTTCCTACATGAGAGAGGAATCATCTATCGGGACCTGAAGCTGGACAACGTGCTCCTGGACGCCGACGGCCACATCAAACTGACAGACTACGGCATGTGCAAGGCAAGGCCCCCTCCAGTGGGCGTGGGCGTGCAACTCCAGCCTCCCGGTAACCGCTCTGTCCTCACAGGAGGGCCTGGGCCCCGGGGACACGACGAGCACCTTCTGTGGGACCCCGAACTACATCGCCCCTGAAATCCTGCGGGGAGAGGAGTACGGTGAGGTGGTGTGATAGTGGGCCCCTCCCCAGAGCCACATCCCTGACCAGTCTGGCAAGACCAGCACACAGCCCCTGCCGTCTCTGTCCTCGGGGCCCCAAGCCCTGCCCACTGCACAGCAATGCCATAGGCGGAGGCAGGGTGATGGGCAGGCCTGGAGTCTGTCCCCCCCCAACAGAGTGGCCCGAAACCTGTAGCCCCTGTGGGTGCGAGAAGGCACAGGGTCACATGTGCTCAGAGCAGGGTCATGTGTGTGTCCAGCAGGGTTCTGTGAGGCCATGGTAACCTTTGTGGTCCCAGTGATGGGACAAGGGACTCCAGGTACCATGGGCAGAGGAATCAGCAGAGAGGGCATCTGTGACCTGGTGTCCTCTCCGGGCCCTCTGCCCAGGAAACACTCCGTGCAGGTCTCCTGGGGGCTGGGCTGGGCGTGCGTGCGTGCGTGTGACCTGGGCACTCCGCAGGCTTCAGCGTGGATTGGTGGGCGCTGGGCGTGCTGATGTTTGAGATGATGGCAGGGCGGTCCCCCTTCGACATCATCACCGACAACCCTGACATGAACACCGAGGATTACCTCTTCCAGGGTGAGCCCCCACCCGCTCCCCCCTGCTGACCTCCCTGCCCCGCCAGCCCCTCACGGCCCTGTCCCCACAGTCATCCTGGAGAAGCCCATCCGCATCCCCCGCTTCCTCTCGGTCAAGGCCTCGCACGTCCTGAAGGGCTTCCTCAACAAGGTGGGTCCCGCACGCCCACGAGCCCGAGGCGCCACTGTTGTCGTGTCCTATCTCGCTGACCTTCCACTTCCACTCTGACCCCAGGACCCCAAAGAAAGGCTCGGCTGCCGGTCACAGACAGGCTTCTCTGACATCAAATCCCACGCCTTCTTCCGCAGCATCGACTGGGACCTGGTAAAGCTTTGACATGCAGTGCTCACACGGCAGACACACACCCACAAACAGACATGCACATGGCAGATACACACGCGCACACAGACACGCGCACACGGCAGATACACACCTGCACACACACCCACACACAGACATCACAAATGGCAGATACACACCTGCACAGACACACGCACAGCAGATACACACCCGCACACACACACACACATACACACAGCAGATACATACCTGCAGACATGCACACGGCAGATACACACCTACACACACACCCACACACAGACATGCACACATGGCAGATACACACCCACACACAGACACACACATGGCAGATACACACCCGCGCACAGACACGCACACAGCAGATACACACCTGCACACAGACACGCACACACTGAGGATACATACCTGCACACATGCTAGATACATACCTGCACACAGATACGCACACACAGCAGATACACACCCGCACACAGACACATGCACATTGCAGATACACACCCACGCACAGACACACAAAGCAGATGCACACTGCAGACAGGCAAACATGGCAGATACACATGCACACACAGGCACGCACATATGGCAGACAGACACCTACACAGGCACACACATGGCAGTACGTGCCTGCACACATACCCACACACAAGGCAGATACACACCTGCACAGACATTAACACACTACAGATACACACCTGCACACAGACATGAACACATCTGCACAGACATGCACACACAGCAGATACACACCTGCACACAACACAGATGCACTCACAAACACGCTTCCCATACTTGACTGCGGGGCCTTGGTGGTGGGCAAGAGGGGTCAGGCATGAGGCTGGCGGGGAGGGCCTGCTCGGGGTGAGGGCACTTCTTGGGCAACTGGTGCCAGGACGAGGCACCCCTGGTCATCAGGTGACACCAGCATGTCCAACAGGAAGGGAAGCCGTGGGGCCACCTTGGGGGAGACCCTGCCCTTCCTGGAAGGGAGTCGGGTCTAGCCCCACTGCAGTGTGGCCCAGGGAGACACAAGGCACCTCACGGCTCCAGCTCAGCGCTGGGCACAGGTGGTGGGCACAGGCCCATGGCACACCCACGTGTCCAGGCATAAAGCAGGGTCTCACGCAGCATTAGCTCGGGGGCAGAAGGAGCAGGAAGGCCCCGGGGAGGGTCTTGGGGGCAGACAGGGAGTGGATATGGTGTCAGGGTCCCTGTGCTGGGTGCCGTGCCTCTACCCCGTGGCCAGAGTGACCCTGTGTCCACAGCTGGAGAAGAAGCAGGCGCTGCCGCCTTTTCAGCCACAGATCACCGATGACTACGGACTGGACAACTTTGATACCCAGTTCACCAGCGAGCCGGTGCAGCTGACCCCGGACGATGAGTAAGCCCGGGGCCCCTCGCACGGCAGCAGGGCAGGCTGGGGGGGCAGGGCAGCCACGGCCCCCTGTGCCCGCAGGGACGCCCTCAAGAGGATTGACCAGTCCGAGTTTGAAGGCTTCGAGTATATCAGCCCACTGCTGCTGTCCACCGAGGAGTCCGTGTGAGGCCCAGCGCATGCATGCTGGCCAGGGCCGCGGTGCCAGGGACCCGGTGCTCGAGGGAGATGCGTCCACACTCGAGGGTGAGAACTTGCCCCAGAACAGAGCTTGTACCCGCGGCCATGGCCACACCCAGACCACGGCTAGGCTGGGCCTCCTTTCCGCATGGTCCTGGGTGGCCCGGACACAGCCCAGCAAAGGCCCGAGCCAGCAGCCTGCACTCGGCTGCACACCTGCGCCGTGCCTGCAACTGCTCCGGAACTGGCCTCGCGTGCGCGCTTGCTGAGGGGCCCTGGGTCCCGCCAGACCGACGAGGAGAAAGGACTCACAGACTCAGCCACACAAATACATTTCTGGAAACACGAGCAGGGCCCACGTCATGTGTCCGTTAGGCTACCGGGCAGTTTCTCTCAGTAATAACGATGCTGAGATTGAAGACTTTTATTTGGGGGAGGGACCCTTCCAGCAGAATGCTCAGAGCGTCGTCCTGGCTCCGTGCTCAGGACCATATGCAGTGCCAGGAATTCAAGCCAGGGCCAGTGGGGTGGAAGATGAGCTCTGCCCAGGGATCACTCCTGATGGTGTGCAGACCATAGGGATGCCAGGCATTAAACCTGGTTCTGCACTGTGCAAGGCAGAACCCCTATGGGGTCTCTCCAGGTGAGAATCAGGGCTTCCGGCTAGGTGATGTAGGGTGGCCCGGCCTAGCCTTCAGAGAGTCTTCTTGCACCAGACACTGCTCTGGCGATTCCTGAGTGCCACACCCTCTGGTCACTTGGCAGGAGGAAGAGACCAGTGCTCAGGTCTAAGGTCACAGCGGGTGGGGGGCACAGGGGGGCACAGGCGAGCCCAGCACACAGCGGGGCCAGGGCAAACAGGCCTGCCCTCCTCACATCTCGGCCGTGGTACCTCCTGCCAGGCACTGGGCCAGGTGGCCATCGACATCCAGCTGGGTCAGCCTGCAAGGAGAGGACAGCATCAATGTCAGGGGCCATCCACAAGGCTAGTCCCCTCCAGTGCCCACCACACCACAACAGCCAGCAGACCCTTGACATTCTGGTGGCTGGACAAGGCAGATTAGGGGGACCCCCCTCCCCAGGGTGCAGGACAGGGAAGCCAGTAGGAGCCAGGCAGTCCGTCCCCCAGCCCACCTGAGGCCTGCAAAGAAGAGGCCAGCGCTCCCCCACCCAGTGCCTGGGAAGCAGATGGACTGGGTGAGGGCTGGCATGAGTCCCCGGGATGGCCTCTCTGGTGAAGCCCACCCACCAAGGCGTGGGCAGTCGTCACCCCGCAGGACACAGGCAGGTGTCTGGGTCCCTGGCCTAAGTGTTCACCCGCCCGGGCTCACTGCATCTCCTGCCCAGCACCGCAGACCTTGCTCCATCCAGCCCAAACGCGAGCCCAGCTGCTCCAGGGTGTGCTTCCGTGGAGGGTGCCCCCGCAGGCCACAGGTCTAGCCTCACCACGGGCTTCTCCAAGCTCCTTGGACAGCTCCTTGGGGAGAGGACCCCCGCCCAGCAGGTGGAACCGGACACCCGGCCCGGCTCCGTGCTCGGCCACAGGGGGGCGCTCCGGAGCCTTGGAGTCGGCAGCGTGCAGACGGCGCGTGCGCAGGCGCAAGGCCGCGGGCGCGTGTCCGGCCGGGCCGGGGGTCCTGCACGGCCACTTCCCGCCACCGGGCAGCTCGGGATTCCCGGACCCGCAGGGGCGGTGGTTACTCACGCGGGCGGGAGCTCGGCGGAGCCGCGGGGCGGGAGGGGCAGCCACGTGAAGGTCTCGCGTCCCACGGAGAACACCTCGGGGGCGCGCGCGCGCTCCTGCGGGGGCCGGAGGGAGCTCGGGGCCGCGCGCGACTCCCGGCCGGGCCGCGCGGGCAGCGGTGGGCACGCCCCGTCGGCGCCGAGCTCCGCGCTGGCCACGCGCAGCAGCGCCGACCACGGACGCTCGTGCTCGCGCGGGGTCCAGGGACCGGCGGGGGGCGCGCGGGGCTCGGGCTCGGCCTCGGGCTCGGGCTCGGGCTCGGGGGGCCGCCGGCGGCTGAGCGACAGCCGCGGCCTCCGCGCCGGCTCCATCCGCCCGGAAGGAAACGACGGGCCGCGGCCGCTGCCCTGCCCCGCCCGGTACCGGTCGCGCGGCACGGCCCGCCCATGGCGCCGACGGGCGCGCGCGCGCGCATGCACACGTGCACACAATGACACACATGCACGCACTAACACGTATACACACACTGATGCATGCACAGACACATGCACTGATACATTCATTGACACGCACACACAGACACACCCTAACACTGAACACGCGCACACTGTCGCACACACACCCTCAGACATGGCGCACCCTTACACTGACACACATATGCACTGACACAATGACACATGCACACACCGACGCATGCACATACGCACATGCACTAATACATTGACAACGCACACACCCTCACACTGACACACGCACACTGTCACACACACCCTCAGACATGGCGCACACACCCTCACTGATGCGCACACCCTCACACACACATGCACACATATGACACATGCACGCACTGACATGCACACACAATGACACGTGCACACTGACACACGCACATACACTGACACACATTGTCACACACACACCCTCACACACGGCGCACACACACACTGACACACACCCTCTCACACACTGACAGGTGCATACACATCCACTCTCACGCAGACATGGGAACACACACACCCTCACACACTGACATACACACCCTCTCACACAGATACACACACACCCTCACATAGTGACACGCACACCTGACACGCAGACACACCTCACATACCAACACGCGCGCACACCCTCACGCACTGACTTGCGTATGCACCTCTCACTGACACATAACCTCTCGCACGTACACACACACTGACACAGTGCACACTCACAGCCCTTCTGACAGTGCCCCCAGTTGTGTGGTACCGGGTTCTGGACCCTTGACATCACCACAGTGAGTTGGAGGCCAGAATCATCCTGGTGGCGGGGCCAGTCCGTGCCAGCGCTGAGCCCGACCCTGTCGGAGCGGACATGCGAATTCTGGCTTCGATCCCCGACACCCCAGAGCACCCCGAGCACCGCCAGGAGTGATTCTTGAGTGCAGAGTCAGGAGGCGCCCCTGAGCATCGCCGGGTATGACCCCCCCCCATGAATGAGTTAAATGAGGTGACCAAGTGGCCAGCGGAGGTGTTGGGGTACAGGCAGGGGCACCTCCCGGCCATCGTGCCATCCGCCACTGGGGGGCAGCAGACGCGCAGCCACGTGCGCCGCGACCTCGGAGCCTGCGCGCTGCGGGTAGGGGCGCGCGATCCCGGCAGCTTCCGCCCTCCCAGCCCCCAGCCAAGACTCCGCCGCCACCCGTGGCCCCTCAGAACAGCGCGGCCCCCCAGCCTGAGCATGAGGATGACTGTGACAGGGACACCCTAGAGGCTGGAGACCCAGGAGAACAGGGTGTCCCCTGCAGTTGGCCCCTCTGTGGAACTACACCCTCCCAATGCCCAGGTGCCTCTCCCCACCCTCCCGGGCCCCTTCAGTCCTGACCCTCCAGATGATCCCCAGCCCCAGCCCAACGGCCGGGCTAGAGGCTGACCCCTGCAGGCCCTCCCCACTGGGTGGGGTGACCTGGTACAGGGCTGGCTCCCTGCGGAGATCGGTGGAGTCTGTACCCCCCAGCAGAGAAGCGTCGGGAGCAAGGTGGGGGCTGGGCAGGGCTGGGCCCCCAGTGGTGACAGGAAAAAGGGGGGGTGGTCACACCCAGCAGCATCCAGGGCTCATTTCAGGCACTGCTCTGGGGACTATATGGGGTGCCAGGGGTGGAATCCTGGTCAGCCAAGTGCAAGGCAAGGACTCAGATTGGTCCCAGGAAAACACATTCTTTTCAGAGATGAGCACGGAACCAGGGGCTCGGGATAGCTAAGGACAGAGGTAGGTCCGCATCCGCAGGCCACGTGCCTTGCAGCTGACCTGGGTGCCATCCACAGGACACCATTGGGTCCTATGGAGTAGGCCCGAGCACAAAATGGAAAGAAAAATGTGCACCAATGTCCACGGTCATGCAGAACGTGTGGGGCCCCGGGAGGTGTCGTGCACAGTGGCCTGCGCAGGAAACTGTACTGCCTCGCTGGCCACAGTCCCTTAGTGACACCTGGAGGAGGTGGCCAAGCTCTCCACCCTTACGGTGCCCCCAGGGATTCCAGCAACTCCTGCTTCCCCCTCCCAGCCCCTCAGTCCCTCCCTGAGCCAGCCCCAGTCAGGCCCACCGGCCTCCTTCCACTCTCCTTCGGTGGACCGGGCCAGGTGCTGACAGAGCGTCCTCCCACCCTCCCCAGCCTCCATCACTGCTGACCCCATGACGGGAACTGGCCTGAGGCTGACAGGACCCAGTCAGGTCACTTAACAAAGAGGCAGGTAGGGGGCTGGTAGTGGGACCTGCTAGGATGGGGCGAGCGACCAGCTGCCCAACAGGGACTGAGACAGGGCAAAAGGCCACCACAACTGCAAGCAGGGAGCCACCCACCTCACACCTCCATGGCCACCCTCCACCTCACTGTCTCCAAGAGCTCAGGGCCTGTGACTCCCCCCAGGCCCCTCCACCCAGCCTCTGACATGGGCTAGAGTGGCAGGCACAGCCTCTCTCGCAGCCCCACGAGTCTCCCGCTAAGGGCGGGCACTTCTTCCCCCGTCCGCCTGCCTGGGCCCCAGCTGGCCCCTGATTCCCCTCAGGAGAGACGGTGAAGCCCTGGCTGTCCCATGGCTGCAGAGGCCACGGCCAAGGAGGGGTGCAAGTCCCACCCTACTATGCCCTCCCCAGTCCCACAAGGGGAGGAGGGAGATGAGCAACTTCTGGATCAGGCCTGGAGCTGGTGTCCCCCGAGAGTGTCCTGCCCCCGACAACCCTCCCCAGTGCACGTCTTGGGGCAGAGCAGAGGGCAGGACTGGGGGTCCGCAGCCTGAGAAAGGTGCTGGGGGCTCATAGGGCAAATGGCAGAGGCCGGAGCCAATGTCCCAAGAGTGGGGGAGGTCTGGCCTGCCCTGGTGAGGGGTCCCAGCCCAGGAGGGCAGATGGGACAGCGACAGCGTTGCAGGCTGCTGTGAGTGCTTCCTATGCTACTAACAGCAACCAAGACAAATGGGACTCCGGGGGGAAGGGGCACAAGGTTGGGGGCCCAGCTGCTTGTCCAGATGCGGGCAGTGGAGGGCCTCTCTCCTGGTCCCTGCACGGGCCTTGCTGCCAGGTCCCACTGTCCCCACTGGGAGGGACAGGCCTGACCTCTGCTAAACCCTACCCCGGAGGTGATGAGGCCCGGCCCACCTCAAGAAGCCCCACCCCAAGCGGCTCCGCCCTAGTTCAGGAAGCCCCGCCCCAGGAAGGCCCATCCCCATCCAAGCCCCGCCAGGAGGCTCCGCCCTGCCTTGGGAAGCCCCGCCCCAGGGGGCCCCGCCCAGTCTCAGGAAACCCCGCCCCTTACAGCTTCTCTCCTGCAACACCCACTCGGTGCTTCCAGTTCAGTGTACAGCCTCTGCTTGTGTGTGCATCCCGTGTATATTTATGTGCCCACATGTTCATACATGCTCCGGGCATGTGCTGTGTGTGCATGTGTAATCACATGTATGACTGCTCCCATAGCCCATGTTTGTATGTGCTGTGCACTGCATGATTGAGGTTGAGCGTGTATATATATGTACGCGGCCGTACATACATGAATGCGAATGTTGTCTCTGCTGGGTGCTTGTATGGCCCTGTGCCTGGGGTGTCCTGTGTCCAGTACCATCGCTGAGCTGAGGTACAGGCTCCAGGAGGCAACCCATCCCCATCCTTTCCTGCCTCTGTTGCAGTCTGGCCAGTGCCCCCTGAGCTCCTACAGCTGTGGAGCTCCCTGCTTGGTAACTGAGGGCACAGACGCGCTGTCCTCGGATCCCTAGCAGTGGGCAGTGGGAGATGCTGGGCAGAGCCAGGAGGGGACAGTTCCAGGCCGAAGCATTCAGGAAAACAGCCTGAGCCAATGCTCCAGTGTGGATTTCCTGGGCAGTGACGTGGAGGGGCAGCAGGGCTGGGTGGTGGGGTCTCTTCCTCCCAAGCAGTGCTTTAGGGGTGACCCCCCACATCCCAGGAATGCACCTAGGGAACAGCACCCACCTGCTGCAGGACTTGGGGCTTGCTGGGCCAGCCCTGTTCCCGGCCGCTCCCCCAGGACCTGAGTTCCCATCACCACTCGCCCCCCACCCCGGGTTCTGTGCTCATCCCTGGCCCTCTGCCCACGGGGGCGTGGGGAGTGAGCCAAGTTTGCATTCATACCTGGCCTGGGGCCTCCCCAAAGCCGCAGGAGAGACGCAGAAGAGGGGGCGGCCCCTCCCACCCCACCCGGGCGGGCTGGGGGGTCCTGCGCACCCCCTCTGTGCACGTGCAGCTCGGGGCTCCCGAGCCGCCCGCCTCGTGCCCAAACCTGTGACGTGCCCGCCTGCCCGCCATCAGGAGGCGAGTTGGGACTTTGTACCCCGCGTCGGCAGGAATGCGCGCACAGAGCCCCCTCCCCTGCCCGCCAGGCGCCCACCCGGCCCTGCTCGCCGGGCAGCGCGGTCGCTAGGCGCGGCCTCGGGCCCACCGTGCTGGCCGGGGCCAGCGGAGGCCGCCAGGACCGGGCAGCGGGGACGGCGGGTCCCCGGTCGTGCCCGAGGGCCACCCCGGGGGGCGCCTGGACCCACACCGGCCCCGGCGGCCTCCGGCTCCAGCTGGCCGGTCCTGGTCACCTGTTTCTATGTGGGGCCACGGGGCGTCGGGCCAGGGAGGCGGCGGCCCCCGCCCCCACCCCGGCCGGGCGCCTGCCCCGGGGGGCAGCGGGCCGCCCGCGCAGCTGCGGGATTGTTTCCCGACACCGGGGGTCTGGCGGGGAGGCCGAGGGGAGGGGCGGGCGCCCGGGCCCGGGCAGGAAGGGAGGTGACGTCAGTGCGCCTGGAATCTGCTGTTTGGAGGCGTCGCCATGGAGACCGGAAGGCGCAGGGCGGGTAAAAATAGCCCCGGAGGCAGCGCCGACCCCGCCAGCCCAGGGAGGGG